CACACATGCACACACATGCACACACATGCACACACATGCACACACATGCACACACATGCACACACATGCACACACATGCACACACATGCACACCCTGCACACACATGCACACACATGCACACACATGCACACACATGCACCACACATGCACCACATGCACACACATGCACACACATGCACACACATGCACACACATGCACACACATGCACACACATGCACACACATGCACACATGCACACACATGCACACACATGCACACACATGCACACACATGCACACACATGCACACACATGCACACACATGCACACACATGCACACACATGCACACACATGCACACACATGCACACACATGCACACACATGCACACACATGCACACACATGCACACACATGCACACACATGCACACACATGCACACACATGCACACACATGCACACACATGCACACACATGCACATGCACATATGCACATATGCACATATGCACATATGCACATATGCACATATGCACATATGCACATATGCACATATGCACATATGCACATATGCACATGCACATGCACATGCACATGCACATGCACATGCACATGCACATGCACATGCACATGCACATGCACATGCACATGCACATGCACATGCACATGCACATGCACATGCACATGCACATGCACATGCACATGCACATACACATACACATACACATACACATACACATACACATACACATACACATACACATACACATACACATACACATACACATACACATACACGTACACGTACACGTACACGTACACATACACATACACATACACATACACATACACATACACATACACATACACATACACATACAAACACGCACCATGCCGAAGAGGAGCACAGGAAATGGACGTCCGAGCGATTGCCAGGGGGGGGCTACGGCTTTCGCGCCGTGCCTTGCAGAGTCTGGAGCCTGGTTTTGTTTTGGCTTCGGGCAATTTTCCTTCCACTCGAGCCCCCCCTGGGCAGTTTCTCTTTGCCTTTTCCAGCCCTGACGACCTCATCCTAGCTTCTGCGTGCTCGTCGCAGCCCTCGCTGGTTTTTCCGACTCACATCAACATCACCACCACCACCACCAACCACAACAACAATCATTTTTAGACTGTTCGCTCATATCTGCTCACGTGCTCATCATCATCAACACGTATATCCCATACCCTCGGTACCCTCCCTCGTCGTCTTCGATCGTACCCCCTTGGGGGTATATCTTCCTTACCTGCCACGTGTATTTAGTGCAGCCCCTAAAACAAGGGAGGAGAGGACGAGTGGAAGGGGGAGGGAGAATAATGGAGCACGAGAGAAATTAGCAGGATGGGGGCAAGGAGTAGAAAACAAGTGGTAGAACCAGACGGGCAGATCGGGTGGGCAGGCCCATAGCGGGCAGGTTGGGAAGGCGGACCCAGGCGACGAGGTCGAGCAGGCGGGTTGCTGAAGCGTGGGTCCTGCATGAATCGCGAGGAATTCTCGAACGATAGCGCGATTCCTAAGTAAATCGTGAGAAAAGCCAGCGTGGGCCACGAAGGGCATACAATCCGAGGCCACAGAGGGCAGCGACGGGGCCGCTGAGGGCAGCACCGGGGCCACGAACGGCAGCGAGGGGGCCACAAAGGGCGACAGCGGGGCCACGAAGGACATGCATATGGGGCCACGACGAGCGCGATCGAGCGGGGGCCACGAAGGGAATTCGTATACGGGGCCACAAAGGGCGACAGCGGGGCCACTGAGGGCAGCAAAGGGGTTACGAAGGGCAGCGAGGGGGCCACGAAGGGCAACAGCGGGGCTACGAAGGGCATGCGTATGGGGCTATGACGGGCGCGTGCGAGCGGGGGCCACGAAGGGCACATAATGCGGGGCCACAAAGGGCAGCGACGGAGCCACTGAGGGCAGCAACGGGGCCACGAAGGGCAGCGAGCGAAGGCGACCGCGGAAACAGTACGGGCAGCGAGGGGCATCGAAGGCGGGCGAAGGGCAGCGAGCGGCGACTGCAGTCATTAACGGGCTGGTCGGGCGGGCAGGCCCCGACGGGCGGGTCGAGCGGGCGGGTCGTTGAAGCGTGAGTCTTGCTTGAACCGCCAGGCAATATGTAGCGGGAGCGCGATTCCTGAGTGTCGAGGACCAGCACTTGAATAAATTGTGAGGAAATATCAAGCGAAGCGGTTCGGTGGTAAGTTGTATGGAGGTCTCAAGCGTGAACGCGATTCTGCAATACATTGTCCAGAAGTATCAAGCGGGAGCCGCGATTCGGTGGTAAATTGCCAGGACGTCTCAAGCGAGAGCGCGATTCTTCAATACATTGTGAGGAAGTATCAGGCGGGAGCCATTGATGTTGTTGTTGTTGTTGTTGTTGTTGTTGTTGTTGTTGTCGTTGCTGTTGTTGTTGTTGTAAGCCGGGGGCCAACCACACAGTTTGAGCCTCAAGACTTTCCTTGATCAAAAAACCGGGTGCGAACCCCCCGGGAGGGGCACTTCAATCAAAAAATACAATGTGCACCAGTCGGGGGGGATCAACAATAGTTATGCTTCAGAGATGAGAGTTCAACAACGACAACAACAACGACGACGACGACAACAACAGCACTGACAGCAACAACTTCCACTTAGACAGACTTCCCAACGTCCTCTTCTTCCAGTCTCCCTGCAGATCTGGGTCGGGGGACCTACTCGTGGCCGAGGCTCGCCGAGGCCTGGAACGCCCCTGCGTTCCAGCATTCAGCGTTCCCCATGCCGGCGCGACGACGGTGTACAGTGAAGTCGGGCGTGTCCCCCTACAGGGGGATTTGCGACGAGAAAAACAAAATACACCAAACATACCCCCAAAAGGTAAAACAAAAAAATGGAAAACAGATTCCCCCGACTATTTTAGGATTTTGTTTTGATTATTTTGGGGGTATCCTTTATTTTTCATCGAAAATCCCCCTGTAGGGGGACAGGCCCGACTTAACCCATGGCGGCGCGACGTCGGTGTCCAGCCGGCTGGCCCCGCGGTTGCGATACTCGCGTCGGTTCGCTCTTCGGACCACGGGCATCGGCCAGGCGCGGCGGTCCCGCTACGATCCGCTTCTGGGGCGAGTGGTGGGCGGCCCCCGACCCATTGCCGAGCCGAACCGGCCCCGCGATTCGAGCCAGCTCATCGGCGGACAGTGAGTAGGGGAACAAGAAATTACATGAGCATAAAAACTCGGAGGTCCGCGCGGATTTCTCGGATCGGCGCTGGGGCCCTCCGGCGGCGCCTCTGGCGCCGCCCCTGGCGCGCTTCGCGCGCCAGGCAGGGGGGTCCAGCGCCGATCCGAGAAATCCGCGCGGACCTCCGAGTTTTTGTGTCTATGCCACTTTTGGTTCCTCCAGAGGGGGGGGGAGCTGCGAAGGAGAAGGCCTCCTCAGAAGGCGTCCGGACTCCTCAGAGGCCCCCCTGGCCTTCTGAGAGGTCCCGCCGGGGGAGGCCCGGAACACTTCTCTCGGTGAGGCCCGGGGGCTTCCTCCGAGCCTTCCGAGCAGGCCCGCCCCTGCTCGCCTCCCCCCCTCGCTCGCCGCCGAGCTCAGGCCTGCCCGCTGGCTGGGGCCAAGGGGGGGGGCCTGAGCTGCCCAGGTTCTCCTCGCACGCGCTGTTCCCAGGAGGGAAAGAAACACACAGGCACAATTTCAATGAGTCGTCGGTTCCCGAGGAAACATGGGAAAACATGGGGGAGGGGGGGGGGGAAGGCAGACGCCCAGAAAAGATGGGAGAACATGGGGGAATATCTTCACTGGGGCCCCTTCAGATCTGCCCGGAGTCTCTTCGCGCGCGCTGTTCCCTGCACCGCGCGGCCCCACGCGCACGCCCGCGGCTCCCACCGGGAGAGGGCCTCCCGCCCTCGCCGAGCAAGCGCCCCCCCTGCGCGCGCGGGCCCCGCGGGTGCAGCGCGGGAGGTGCCGGCGAGCCCCTCGCGGCGGGGCCGTGTGCATTGAGATCAGCCACGCGCAGAAGGGGGGGTCTTCACCAGCCTCGAACGTATCCCTATCCCTAAGATTGACACGCCGAAAGGCGATGCCAATCTTAGGGATCCGCCCTGAAAAACTAGAAGGGAATCCCTCAGACTGGCATTGTGTTGAGGCGATGCCCAGCTTAGGGATAGGGATATGTTCCAGGCTGGTAAGTCGGCCACGCGCAGAGGGGGGTAGGGGGAGGGGGGAGGGCTCCTTAGAAGCACCCCTGCTTCTTCGAAGGCGCGGGGCTCATCTGTAGATGCAGGGCCGGCGCCTTCTAAGGTGCAGCCTCCTTCTAAGCAGCCTTCCCCCCCCCTCCCTCCACCCCCTCGTGCGCGCCGCCAATGGGAACAAGAGGACCCCTGACCCGAATGGCACGACGAGGACGTGGCCTCACTGAGGTCCCCGTCTGCACATTCGGGCAGATAGATTTGGGGTGATTCGGCCTGGTACACCTGCAGAAGAGGCCCCCCATCCCTATTGTTTCTGGCCCTCCTAACCTAGGTCCCCTGCCAAAGGGTTAGGGGTCCTTTTTGGGTTGATCGTACCTGGTTCTGGCCATCGGGTGGTCCCCGAGAGGTATCTGCAGACCGCCTCTCGCAGACCCCCGAGCGGCGCGGAGCCAGCGGCTGGCGGCATCTTGCCGGCACCGCCGGCGGCGTGAGCGATGCGCTGAAGAGCATCCTCGAGGACCGGAGGTTCAAAGACGGGGTCCTGATGGGATGGGGTCCTGAGGACGATGTGCCGCAGACAATGTAAGTTCACCCTTGGACCCCTTTTGTCCACAGGGCCCCATCTCCCAGGGCCCCACCTTTGAACCACCGAGAGGAGGCGGGTGCGGAGCTGAAGACGGGGAGGCGCGTTGCGAGCCTGGACGCGCAGGCGGGCCTCTGGCGGGCGCGCCCCTTCCGGGGCGACCCTGCCCAGTTCGACGCCGTCATCCTGGCCGTGCCTGGCCGCGGCACGGGCGGCGACAACCTGAGCAAGATCCGCGGGAGCTGGGAGGCGCGCCTGAGCGCGGACCAGAGCCGGGAGCTCCAGGGAGCAGAGCACGACGAGCGATGGTCCTACGCGTTCTTCCTGCCGATGGGCGCGGCCGCCAGCTGCGACGCGTTCTTCGTGGGGAACGGAATATGACACAAGCATAAAAACTCGGAGGTCCGCGCGGATTTCTCGGATCGGCGCTGGACCCCCCTCCCTGGCGCGCGGAACGCGCCAGGGGGCACCGGAGGCGCCGCCGGGGGGGTCCAGCGCGGATCCGAGAAATCCGCGCGGACCTCAGAGTTTTTACGTTTACGTTATTCTTCGTCCCCTGATCTTCGGCCCTGAGAGCTTCGAGAAGGTCGTCGACGACGACGTCGTGCACCTCCTGTGCTACCAGTCCCGCAAGACTGCCAGCGTCAGTGGACAGGGCCCCCAGGGTGCCATAGGGATCGTGGCGCATACGACGCTCTCGTGGGCCAGGCGGAACCGGCGGTCGAATGGTCGCAACCAGGAGCTCCTGAGCGAGGTGTCGGATCGGGTCGGAAGTCTGCTCGGCCTGCGCTCGCCGCTCTCGCGCGCAGTCCTCGCCTCCAAGACCATCACGTGGTTCCAGAGCCAGGTCACGAGGTCGATCAGTCCTTCAGCCGAGCTGGGGCCGTGCATGGCCGTGGACGGTGGGGCAGGGCCCCTGGTGCTGGCGGGCGACTACTTTACGGAGTCCAGCTTCGGCGGGTGCCTTCGCAGCGGCTTCGCCGCCGCGGACGCGGTGGCGATGGCGCTGCGAGACGGAGGTGCCTCTTCGAGGCCGCGGGCATCGCCAGTGCCCGCCGCGGTCGACGCGCGCGGCGGCGGCAAGGGCCGGAGCAAGCTGGCAAGGCCGGGCACAAGCAAGACCAGCGCCGGGGCGGGATGACCTCCGGTATGATCGAATTCGGCACGGAGATAATGGTCACCAAGATCGACGGCACACCCGAACAGGACTCGCTGCCGGCGTCGCCGCAGATGAGGTCCACTTGAGTCAAAAATCCGCCTGCCCAGCAGCGGCCGCTGTCGGTGTTGGACAACGCATGCTGTTGGGCATCGTGCCCGAATGTTCCGTACCCGCTTCGGGCGTGCCAAGACTCGAGCCTCTGGGATGTCGGCAGGTGACGTCGGGATCTGTACATGTCCACTGCCCCGGACCTGGCCCAGCCTGGGCCCTGGAGCGTTGTGTACGCCCTCCTGGCTTGGCCGGGGATGCATGCACACAAGTTCAAGCAGTGGCGAAGCGTCCCGGCTCGCCTATAGCCCCACCAAACAATGTTCCACGAAATGTTCTTAGCACATTTCTGGCCGGGACTGTCTTGTTTTAACATATCGGGCTTATGTTCTAAGAACATTGTTTTGTTCTTAAAACATTTTTGGGTTCTAAGAACATTTCGTGGTATGACTATAGGAATGCTGGAACGGTCGGTCCCTGCTCAACAAGTGCTGGGCCCAGGGTGGGCCAGGCCTGGGGCGGTGGACACGTCTAGCTCGCGTTGCCCTATGACGTCTGGGCGACCGACCTGGGCGCTCGAGCGGCGGATGGGAGTTCCCCGCCAGTGAGGGCGGCGGTACAGTCGGTGCGCTGAAGAAGGAACCCTTTTCGTTGTGGAGGGGCTCCGTGTTCCTTAATTGTTTCACAGCTTGCCTCAGGGTTTCCTTATGTTTTCGATGGGAAATCGAAGTTTAACCTATGGAAAAAAGGGGCCTCGTTTCTTATTTATCGTTCCTTAGGTCAACGCCCCGACTGTAGGCCGAAAAGGGGGCCCTACTCGGGCGCCCGAGAGGGGCCGAGGCGGCCGTCGCCCCTGACGTCCATCGAAGCGTCGCGACGTGGGCCCACAGCCAGGCGGAGGACCGCAGAGCGGAGGCAGGAGGAGCGGGAGGGAGGGCCGTCTCCATGTCTCTTCCGCGGTCGCTGGTCGAGGAGCTTGTCGCGACATTCCCTCTGCGCCAGCTGCGTTTCGGCGCCCAGTCTGCGCGCCGATGCGTGCAGCATGATCCTGGCCGTTGGTGCACGCCGTTGTGCGCGATACGGAGTAGGCGATCGTAGTCTGCACCGATTGTACATGTGGAGCGCACAGGTGCCGCGTTGTTCATACAGCCCGCGAGGTTGCAAGACTAATTTCGCTGAATGCGCTCTGTCTGCCGCTTCCAATTTTCTCGGGGAAGCGTTACACTCGAGCTCGCTAGAACATGGGCCTGCCGACGCTTCTTGAAGAGCAGGTCCTGGATTTCGACGGTCCAGCTTCCCATGGGATGTCTACAGCGGGAGCTCGCGTCAAATTTCAGACTCGCCAGGCCAGCCCGAGTCCCCCGAGCCTGAGTCTTACGTCTCCCCCGATGTTCATACGCGCTTCTCGCTCGGCGGCGCTGGCGTCTGACTGCGGCTGCCTGGCCCGTAAGGCCCGCGCAGCAGCTCGGGCTTGCCCAACACGCGTGGCGTCTCCAGCTGGGGCCTGGGACTTGGAGGTCGCTTGGGGGGCAGCATTGTTTCCAGGGCCAGATCCCAATACGCTCAGCCCGCGCGCTTGATCCGTCAATAACAATCCTTACGACACCCATTCGCGACAAGTTCGGACCTTAGGTTTGCTCTTACCAACGATTGGGCTGCTGAGGCTTGCTCTTACGCTACGAGCATTGCCTCCTCCTCCGTCGCCCCAGAAACACAGATCGCGTTCGCTGCCCCTCAGCGAGCTAAAACCTGGGACCTTCTTGGTCCATCCTAGGGCGATTTGGGGCGGCATCTGTGGGCCTTTTAGAGGTCACCTTGCGGCAGTCGTGAGCAATCTCGGGGGCTCGGGGCCGTCTTGAAGCGATATTTGAACATCTTGGTAACAAAGCGTGGGACAGGCAAACAGTAATGGTACTGCTATGGCTTTCCAATGTTTTGTCCAACCTCGGGGGCCCCTTCGGAGCCTCCTGGGGCCGTCTTTGAGGCCTGTTGGACCCTCCTGATCGTGTGGTGACGTCCAATGGGACTCCTGGGGCAGCCAACCTAGAGCGGTCAGGAATTTGAGAAATTTCACGTCTGTTGTTCTTCAGTCTTGGCCCCCCCTCAGTAGACAATAGCATGAGACGGGCCTGGAGAAATAAGATACAAACCAACAAAAGACGATACACATTACCCAAGACAGCATTCCATCAGCAGGAACCGCCTGGCGCCCCCAAGGGAGCCGGCGGATGTCGGGTGCGTCTCGCTGAAGGCTTCCGCTGAACCATAGCAATCGTTTGTTGATTAACTGGTTGGTTTGCTGGTAGGTTGGGCGGTTGGTCGGTTGTTTGCTCGTTCGTTGGCTGGTCGAAGCTATCAATCGATTGGTCAATTGGCGAATATTGACCACTCGTGTGGCCAGTTGGTCGGTTGGTGGGTTGCTTGCTTGGATGGCTTCTCAAGTTGCTGGTTGGAAGGTTGGCTGGCTGGCTGGATCGGTGGCTGGTTGCCTGGTTGGCTGGCCACCTGGCTGGTCGGGTCGGTCGGCGCCGGCTGGGGTCGGGACGGGCGGGCCGACCTTGCCTCGGGCAGTCGAGCGGCCGGTCGGGGTGGCGGACCCTTCAGTGACTGGCCACGCGCAGAAGGGGGTGGGGGGAGGGGGGAGGGCTTCTTAGAAGCACCTCTGCTTCTTAGAAGGCGCGGGCCTTCTTTGTAGATGTAAGGCTGGCGCCTTCTAAGAAGCAGCCTCCTTCTAAGAAGCCTTCCCCCCTCACCCTACCCCCTTGTGCGCGCCGCCAAACTGAGTCGGTCGGGTCGGGCGGACCCTGAGTCGGACGGGGCGGGGAGGTGGGCCCAACGTCGGGGCGGGCGGAACCTAGATCGGGCGGTCGGGCCGGTTCGGGATGGGCGAAATCCAAGTCTGGCGGTGTCGGATCAGGTCGGGCTGGCGGGCTTTAAGTCGGGCGAAATTCACGATAATTTTGGAACCCAGCCTGGCAGAACGGGGCCATGCCTCTATCGGAAATCTGGAACCTGAACACTCGACCAGGATCAAGGCGCACGTCCCAGAGTACGCGAGGGTGTCGCCCGAGATCTTCCACATGAGGAGAAATCAGCTGGTTGATTATCCTGCAAGCGGAGCCCATGTTGCGTCGACGTGTCGGTCATATCCATAGATGCAACATGATCCCCGCTGAAAAGAACGAAGTGGCTTCTGGTAGAGGTAAGGTCTCGGCGCGGCTCCCAAGGGGCCCGAACGTGAGCTTAGATGGAATGGGCTTCGATGACATCCATTCAGGCGTGCCCGAGATCTCTGGGAAGTGCGAGCTGACAAGGGCTTCTGCACTTGAGCTTTCATCTCACTTAAGAAGCAGCTCACAAAGGCTAGGCAGGGTTCATTTCGATCCGATCGATCCGATTCGATATCGAATCTGGCCAGCCCGATCGGGGTCGATTCCGATATTCCGATCCGATGCGGCCTGATGTTTGTATTGTGTATTGACCTGCAGTGCATCTTGGCGCAACCGATCAGATTCGATTTTGACCCCGAGACCATGCAGCTCGATCCGATGCTCATCTCGATTCGATCGTATTTCTCGATCTGATGCTGACTGATCCTACAGAGGCTATCTTGGCCGTCCCGTGCACGTTGCGGGTCAGTGGGCTTTTCTTTCTGTGTATGTGTGTGCGGGACACGCAGTGTTCTGCCAACAGTTCGGAGCCATCGCCGTAGCCGTTGATGGTTCGAGGAAGGAGCCTCGGGCCCCGTCGAGATGTTCACAACCGTTTACTTTCTTCTTTGGAGAGGGGCTGTTGATACAGAAATTGTGCGTATCTGGGGCGCTGGGTGCATGACCAAGAGAGCACGATCCTTGCCCGCCTTTCTCCTGGTGGGTCCACGGGGTCTGGCGGATCTGACAAAGTGCATCAAGATGCGCGAGCTGCTCGGCAGATTCGATACAGCCGGTGCCGCCGCGCAATCTTGACTCACGGTCTACCGTGGCAGGGCAAAAGAAACACCATCGCCATCATAATAATCATCATCATCACCACCATCATCATCATCATCATCATCATCACCATCATCATCACAATCATACTCATCATCGTCATCATCATCATCATTACCATCACCATGATCATCATCATCAACACGGCCATCGTCAGCATTATCATCACCATTGACAGCATCATATGTATCATCATCATTAGACTCCGAGTCATCATCACCATCATTAGCATCATCATCATTAACATCATCGTATCATCATTATCACCATCATCATCATCACCATCATCATCATCGTCATCCTCGTCATCACCATTCACCATCATCATCATCATCATCATCATCATCATCATCATTGTCATTAGCATCGTCATCATCATCATCATCAACATCATTATCATCGTCGTCATTGTCACTGGCATCGTCATCGTCATCTTCGTCGTCATCATCGTCGCCATCGTCATCATTATCGTCATCGTCATCATCATTGTCATTGTCATTGTCATTGACACTGGCAGTGTCACCATCATCAGCATAATTGGCCGTGGCTCGCCGTTGTTCCAATGGAGTGGAGTTCGGCGTTTGGGTTTGGTTCATACGGGGACGCCCTTATATTCTTTGTGTATTTTCCGTGGAGCTAGACGCCTCGGATTCACCAGTCGTATGCCTGGGCAGGGGCCTTGAATGCATTCAGCAAGTGGGATATTATCATCGTTGGCATTACTACCATTTTCCTCCTCCGCCCCCTTCTCCTTCATCTTCCATCATCCTCAGCGGCTGTCCTCATTCCCTTTCTCTTCCGCCTCCTGTGGCAGCTTGAATTTATGCAATCGAGTCCTATCTGTCTCAGTGATCTGTCTCAGCCACAGGTCTGCAGGTGTGACGGGGCCTGTGCGGCTTATCGCCAGACGCCGCGTGCTCGGTCCAAGATCTGGCAGGACGCGGGTGACATCAGACGAGGGGGAGGATGAGGCGCACGCGGCGGAGGATGCACGATGATGAGACAGAGGGTACGGTTGCTGATGATGATGCATCTGATGATGATGTTGCTGCTGATGATGATGAGGATTTGCTGTTGGCGATGGCAATGTCGATGACGATGATGACGACCATAACGACGATGGCGACGATGACGATGATGACTACGACGACAACGGTGACGATGACGATAACGATGATGATGCTGATAATGATGATGCTGCTGCTGATGATGCTGATGACGATGCTGCCGATTATGATTATGATAGTGATCATGATTCGGAGTATGATGATGGTTATGTTGATGATGGTGACGATGCTGATGCTGATGCTGACGACGATGCCGCTGCTGCTGATGATGCTGATGATGCTGACGACGCCGACAATGACTTTTGATGATTATGGTAATGCTGATGCTGATGATGATGGTGATGCTGGCGATGCTCATGATGCTGATGGTGATGATAATGGTGATGATGACGATGGCGGTGTTCGTGGTTGTGGTGGTGCTGATGATGATGATGATGATGGTGAGTATGGTGCTGATGGCGCTGATGATGCTGACGATGACGATGATGGTGATCCCGATGGTGACGAGGATGAGATGCTGAAGAACATGATGATGATTGTTAATGAGGATGCTGATGTTGCTGATGATGATGGTGATGGCCATGCTGATGATGATAATGCGGATGATGGTGGTGACTATGATGATGAGGATGAGGATGATGATGCTGATGATTTTGAAGTTGATGATGAGGATCATGATGATGATGTTGATTATGATGATGGCTATGGTGCTGATGATGATTGTGATGAAGATGATGATGCTATTGCTGTTGATGTTGACCATGATGATGATGATGATGATTATGATGATGCTGATGATGATGATGATGATGATGATGCTGATGATGATAATGCTGATGATGATGATGATGATGATGATGCTGATGATGATGATGATGATGGTGGTGGTGGTGGTGGTGATGATGATGATGATGGTGTTGGTGAAGGTGGTCGTGGCCTTGATGTTTATGAGGATGAGGATAATGATGAGGGCGTGGAGAAGGAGTAGCGGGATAAGGATGAGGGGCACGGAGGAGGATGCGGGAAGAGGAGGGAGGTAGGCATGAGGATGGAGAGTGGGGTGATGAGGAGGAGGTGTGGAGGGAGGTGGGAGCGGGAGCAATAATAAGGAGCACACGGAGAAGCGGACGGGGACAGGAGGACAAGGAGGATATTCAAGAGAAGGAGGAGGAGGAGAAGGAGGAGGACGAGGACCAGTGTAAACCCAAGAGCGATGTTGGAATCCACCCTCCCTCCAAGGTCCCTCTTCATAGGCCCCTACAACGGTTCATTTCCATTGAAGGAACTTCCTCGTTGGAAGACAACTGTTTGAAGATTCTGAAGCATGCCAAAATAGTGTTCTCGGGATTTCAACGCCACGGATCAACTTGACCGTTGCGTCCTGACGGTCCTGAATCGTGCCAGAAAGCCATTCCTGGTGCTTCAGCACAGCGAACCAACGTAACTCTTGCACCCGCATAGTCCTAAATCCTTCCAAACACCATTTCTGGTACGTTGATAATGGGAATCCGTGAACGTCTTGCAAAATGTATCGATGAATGTGCGCGGCGCTGAGGCGAGAGCCACACTCTGAGAAGGAACCGCCCTCACTCCGTGAAGCTCTTGTGTTTGTTGAAAACGAATGCGCGCCGCGCTAAGGCGAGAGCAACATGTTGAAAACGACCCGCCCTCCATCCGTGAAACTGTTGCCAAGTCTTAAGCTTCAGAGTCACACATGTTAAGCTTCAGAGTCATAAGTTGTGAGAAAGTCTCATGCGAGACGCCCGGCCGGCCCGCCCAAAAAACAAGCCTCAGGGTGCGACAGGGAGAAGTTAATTACAAGGAAGAGGAATGGAGGATGAGGACGAGGAGGAGGAGGCGGACAAGGTGGAGGAGGCGCAGGAGAAGGAGCAGAACGAGGCAGCTCGTAGTCTTGTTTGTTCATGCGTAGCTTCGGACTCATGTCGCCGTCGCTGTCGCTGAAGATTAGAGCGGGATTACAGCGGGATGAACGGTCGGAACAGGCGCAGGAGGAGGAGGAGAAGTACGAGGAGAAGGCGGCGAGCTTCTAGGATGATGCGCAACAGGAGGGTGAGGTAGAGGAAACGCAGGAAAAGGACGAAGAGCACGCTGGCGCAGTACAGAAGCCATGCGCCAGCTTTCAGCACGGCGCTTGGGCACCTCTGTCGCCACTGAGCTGGGTTTCCGGTCAGGACGCGCGGGCGGAAGAGTGCGCAAGTGGCACCTTTGCGAGCATGATGCGACACACCAAGGCACAGCACGCACCCGACTGTGAAGCAGAAAAGCAGAGCGGCTCACGACAGTGAAGCAGAGGAGGAGGAGGAAGAGGAGGAGGAGGAGGAGGACACGACGACGACGACGTGGAGGGGGAACATGGACTACCGCATCTGTGCTCGATTGCAATAATATATACACGTATTGGGCCCATTTTAATTTGAGGCGGCCGCGTCTCCAGACCAAGTGCCATTGCTTTGGTGCAGGTGTCCCAGGCTCGCACTCAAAGGAGCTCAAATAGCTACTGTCTGGCCGAGAGCAAATTTTCTCATAGGATTGCGACTGCCTCTTGCACAGTGCCTCGCTCAGACGATCCGCCCGCGCTTTAGACAGAACTGTGGCGTTCGACACCCTGTAGTAACAGTAAGGTGGGACTAGAAGGAGGATAAGGAATCCACTCAGGAGGAGGAGGAGGAGGAGAAGGAGGAGGAGGAGAAGGAACTGGAGAAGGCGTAGGTGGAGGAGACGCAGGAAGAGGAGGAGGAGGAGGAGAAGGAAGAGCCAGCATTGCATCGGCCACCCTGTGCAGCTCCATCGTGCCCACCACCTCATGAGGTTCAGAGGTATCTTTTGGTGCAGGGTCTGTGGAGGAGCAGGTGCAACATCTTTCCAGAAGTTGTGCCAACCGTGCCCGACGAATCGACTCGTGCCCACACATGGCAAGAGAACGATTGAGACCTTCGAGCGAGGGAAACTCCCGACGGATTACAAACATTGGCTCCAACCAGACGATGTTGGTCCCAGCCGTCCTGTGATCATGTCCCAAGCTTTGCTGAAACGCCTCCTGCCAGGGGAACTACAAGAGGCAAGAGGAGGAGGAGGAGGAGGAGGAGGAGGAGGAGGCACAGGAGGAAGAAGGCGCATGACGACGACGATACGTGGTGAGCGGCGCCCAGGCGTCACGTCCACCACTCCGCTCGCGGCAGGGAGGGGTGGCAGCGGGGCAGCAGGGCGGGTTCCTCCTCCTGCGCCCCCCCCTGCGCCTCCTCCTTATCATCCATCCCTCTTCCTTATGGATACCTCCTCCCTGCCGCACCACGAGGCTGGTCGAACGGGCGCGCTGGGCGTTTCGCTTGAATTGTTCTCACCGCTTCTGATCCTGAAGCTTCAAATGTGCAAATAAGAAGGAGGGTGGAGGAGGAGGAGGAGGAGGAGGAGGAGGAGGAGGAGAAGGAGGAGGGGGAAGGAGGAGGAGGAGGAGGAGGAGGAGGAGGAGGGGGAGGAGGGGGAAGGAGGAGGAGGAGGAGGAGGATGAGATGGAGGGATGGAGGGTGGATCACCTTCATAATGTGGTTCCCCCTCTGCGCCGCGCACAGTCGTTGGAGAAGTTTGCAGAGGCTTCACGGGTGGAGAGCGGCTCCTCTTCAACACGTGGCTCTCGCTTCCTCGCCGCGCACGTTCGTTGTTACATCTGACCGGCTTTTCACGGATGGAGGGCGGGTGGTTTTCAAAGTGTGGTTCTCGCCTCTTCGCCGCGCACATTCGTTGGAAGAGTTTGCAAAGGTTTCACAGGTGGAGAGCTGCTCCTTTCCAAGATGTGGCTCTCGCCACAGCGCCGGGTACCTTCGCTTCAAGAGTTCGCAGCAGTTTCAAGGACTCTCATGGCTAACGTCCCAGAAACGGTGTTTTGCCACGATGTCGGCACGTCAGAGCGCGACACTCAGGTTGATTCGCTGTGTTGAAGTCCCAGGAATAGCGTTCTGGCACGATTCAGGATCGTCAAGACGCAACAGTAACGGTGATTCGCGGCTTTGAAGTACCAGGGATAATGTTTTGGCACGATTGATGATTCTCAGACGATTGTCTTCCAACCGGGCACCTCCCGCAGTCAACATAATTTATTTTAGGGACCAATGAAGAGGGAACTTGAGGGAGGGTTTATTGCAATATCGTTGATGGGTCTTGGGTTTACACTGGTCCTCCTCGTCCCCCTCATCTTCCTACTTCTCTGCCTTCTCTCGTGGCAGCGCTCAAGCGTTAGCCCGTTGTTCCTGTGTGTTCGTTGCAAGGCCTGCTCCACGCTGGGCCCTCTTGCTCTTCATAAGCAGGAGTGCAACCATCCTTCGAGAAATCACATTGAGTGATGGAAATCCAGAGTTCTCAAGGGAAAGCACCCTCGTCGAAGGGATGTGGTGCTTGAGGCTGCACTTGTCGATCGAAGCAGCTTGGCAGGAGAAAGAAGTATCAACACGCATACCCATCCTTCTCCTCCCCCCCTCTCCCTCTCTCTCTCTCTCTTTCTTCCCTCCTCTTCCTTGCTCCTCCTCATTCCTCGCCTGCGCTCGCCTCCTCTTCCCTCCTCCTCTTCCCTCTCCTCCTGCTACCACCGTTCCGCCGTCTGGAGCATGGGCGTGCAAAAAAGACGGCCGTTGTGCTGCTGTGTCGTTGCCGTGTCGCACGCGTGTTCGACCTGCTCTTCTGTTGCTGCTGTCTCCCGGCGGCTTCCGAGGCCTCCGACGGCCGCCAAGCATCTCCACGGGCCCCTCGTGACCTCGGAAGACCCCAGGGCCTTTCCCAGAGATCTTCTGGAGGCCTTCGGGGCCCTCCTCCGCCCACCATCCTCTGCCACCATCCTCCTCCTTCTGCCTCCTTCCTCCTCTCCTTCT